CTAGTAGCCTGACTTGGTATTCTAAGACCACAAATGACTTTTATGATTGTGTTCAGTTTCCTACAGGCCGTTTGGGTCATCAAAAGTGTTGGAGATTGGATTTTTTTATGTATAGGGAAAGAATGAAAAGCCCTGCTTTTACTGTTTAACTTCTTCAGAAATCTCAAATCCAAGTATAACAACTCTTTCCCTAAATGTGTTAAGTTTAGACTGTCAAATTCTTCCATGTTATGCACATTGACCCAATGTACTTAGGATTAAGGAAAGAGAATTGTTGGTTCAAAGCACTGTACAGCTGTCACTATCTTTTTTTTCCTAACAGAGCACTACTGCCCCACTCTGTTTTAAAAGTGCAATGGTATAATTTTATCTGTTGACTTAAAATGAATATTGATAAAACTTATACTAAGAATGACAACCCAAGATGTATGACTCTTGAAAAGAACAATGCTTAAAATAAGGTTCTATTATTTGCTTATGTGTATTGCTGTTGGAATATTTTTTCAACATGTTAGCTTTGAAAACTCTTTCTTCCCACCTTCATCAGTTTAATTACTACTACTAATTTTGGTCGAACTGAGAAAGTTAAAGCACTTGCATTCTAATCTAATTGATCATAATTTGCAGTTTTTCTTGATTCAGTTGGAGTGATGTCATTTTGCATTGCAGTAAGTTCTGAAGACATTTTTGAAAGATATCACAAATATATTTATATTAGAAAGTACTTGGAAAAATTATAACAGAAAAATTATTCATAATTTTATCTAATTTTAACTGAAGGACAAAAAAGTAGTGGCTTTATAGCATAGATTCTAGATAAAGAGAAGCAATGAGAGAAAAAAGTGCTTTCATAATTTTCAGTAAAGCACTTAGGATGTTTACATTTTAGAATCTGTTTAGTCAGCTAAAATCGTGGGAGATAGTGATAAAATTAATAAGGACCTGGATGAAAGGGAGCTGATATGGGTTCAATGAAATGGGAAAATACCAGTTTGAGAAGGAGTTATTATTGAAGCTCTTCAAAGACCACTTGGGAAACAAACATTTTTAAGGATTGAAATTGGATAACCTGAAAACCTGGCACAGTAAAAGTGCTATGAAAATTAATGTTGAAAGTACAAGTTCTTATACTTGGTTAAGAGTAAGAAATTATACTTTAGGCTGAGAAGTAATCTACTAAAAAGAGTAGAGTAGAAGAAATTTGTGTGGACCTGTCATTTATAGGGCAGCTGTGAGGAACTATATGAGATGCGTGTGAAAATGGCAATTGCATTGTGCAGACATATTGACCGAAGTCTTTCAGGAAAAGATATGGATTAGTTGATATATATCACTTCATTGATCCCAAATACTGTGTAAAGTTTTCTTTCATGTGTTTTAAAGGAGGATAAATTCAAGCTGGATCAAATACAATGAGAACTTCAGTAACAAAAACAAGGTGGGAGGAGCCAGAAGAACTTGGCTCAAGGCCAGAAAGCAGGATGAAGGATAGGGGAGTTTGCAGAATGGCCAGGAAATTTATTAATCCCTTTCAATAATCTCTCAACCAGTGCAGGAATATCTCATATTTAACTGATTAGTTTTGATTTGGTTTACTTGTTTGGGGTTGGGTGGTTGGTTGGTTGATTGGTTTTGGTTTTGCTTTGTTGTTTAAAATCTTTGATCTTTTTGAGCCTCTTCAGTAAGTGTGCCTTTTCCCTGGTCAGTGTTAAAGTTCTAAAATGTCTTCCCAATAGTTAATATTTATTCTGCTTTCACTCCTTTTGTCCTATTTTATAATAGCTTTTTTTAAAATTTCCAACCAGATACTTTGACACAGTTGTCTGGTTATTTTTCCTAACTATACTTCTAGCTTTTATTTAAATGCTTGGGTTATTTTGGTTTGAGTTTTTTGTTTTCCTTTTTCCCCTTTATCTGAAAGAGTGTATTCAATAACTTTTATAATTAAGAACCAGGGATGCGTGGCAGATTGATATTACATCTGGAGGAGTTACAAACAAACTCATTAATATGGTACACTATAGTAGAGGACCCATGTTTCTAAAAATAGCAAGCTATAAAACGTAGTCTCTACTGGCTACTTATAATATTACTGCTCTGTAACCGATACCCACATTTACTATTTTTTGCATTGTGATGATATCAGTAAAAAGAATTAATTTTACTTCCAGTTTTTCTAAACCTTTACTCTGCTTTTTCATTTGACGTTAAATAAACAAAATGTGCGTGACTAAACTCCAAACAGTTATTATTGATCTACAAAGGCAACACAGAAAGACAGCTAAGTGTCATCCTAGTCAGGAATAATTCTGAGTGACGCAATTTCAGTATCTGTCAAAAAAAATAATTCCTCCCAGAACCACATTTATTTCTTTTAAGTAAGAAAGAAGACATGGTAAATGCATAATTTAATTCCTGGCGCCTAGTTTTTATATTTCCAAAGGAATGTCATAGTGTCTGGACTCTGAGAGACTCTGCTCTGTGCACCTGACAGAGCACACACACCACACCCTTCCACCTTCAGCAGTGTTTGCCTCTTTCACTGTGTTTGCAGACAGTTAATGGATAGGAATTTTCAGGGAGTTACCTGGCAAAGATTCTGCACCAGGTGCTGCCCTCAAAGCTTACGGCTTTTTGGGTTGGGTGATAATTTGTTTTTTTAAGGAGAAAATATGTGCAATAGTTTTCTCTCAAGAAAATAAGAATTATAATGCAACTTACATGCCTTTTTTCCTATTAAATATTAATATACATATGCATAATTGTATAGTGCTTGAAGGTTTTTACATAAATGTTTGGTATTTTACAGGAAAGCAGTGATTCTAGTGCATTTATTAAGATAGGGATGTTTTTCATAACTTTTAAAAAATATGTATCATCAGTGCATTGACTAGTTCCAGTTAGTACAACTACTTCTTCATTTTTTAAAATTCTGTATATGGCCCTTTTGTTACAATATAGTCCTGAGACAAAAATTGCAAATGGCCTATCAATATCGAGTACTGAGAAATTTTTCAGAAATTATTTGGGAGTTTTCTCTGGCAAAATTAGTATTATCATCCTTTGTTGTCATTGTTGTTATCATCATTTTCTTAATTATTATTTATGGTAAGGTTATCATTACTATTAAAACCAAGACAGTTTAAAAAAACCCATTTAAACTTTTGGTGTCTGCAAAATGATGGCCTCTCAGTTTTGATTTCAAAATATCATCTTTGCCCATGTAGGAAATGTTATATTTGATAGATGCTCTCTTTTCTAGTGTCATCTTCTAATTAAAAATTATAAACACATGTAGCAGTGACTGGCCTTCTTTATGTTGGCATCCATAGTAATACTGAAGTTAATTGAAAAAGAACTTTTAAATCTTGTAGAATTTAAATTGCCTGTGCCAGTTTATTGTGTGAAGGTTAGCAGTTTTCATAGATGGCCCTATAACACCAGCTGATTTCATGATTCCCTCATTCATGCCTTTCCTAATTTGAATATAAATTTATAACTGAAATACCAGATTACTTATCTCACTTTTGAGATCTTTGCATAGTGAGCTCAGTAAAGAAGCAAAATATGTGTACTGTTGGTTTGCTACCAGAAATTTTGAATCATTTAGTAGCTATGCAGTTATGTCGCATTAAGTCTGCAAGATAGTGTCACTGAAGAACCACTTCCTGTAACATAGAAGCTGAATTGCTTCAGAGGAAGCTGTAGATTGTAAAAGTACAGTAAACAGCAGAAGAATCAATTTAATTTAATTGGTACATTTCATTTTCCTTAGTGTAAGGCATTGTGTCAGGTAATGCATCTAGTTAAAAAAGGTCAGTCTCACTTGGGCATGTCTAGTGGGCACGATCACTCATATTTTGAGACATAGAGTGCATTTTTTCTGAAAGAGGAAAGAATCAGGGGATTCTGGAGCTAAGTATAAAATTATTTTATTTTAATCACAATTTTTAAAGAATTTAATTATTGAACAGCTAAGCTTGCTTTCATGCTTTTCTAATGCTTACAATTGGGGGTGGTGGAAAGAGGGCAGGGGGAAGTGTTAATTACAAAGTATTGCTTTTATAAGACTGAAATGAACCTATGATCTTAGCTTCCTTACAAATTCTTTCTTTCCTATAATGAATGAGTTAATGTGTCTCTTATATGAAAGTACTTTCATAATTAAAAGAGAATAGACACATGATGCCTTTTGTAGTTTACTTGAAGAGGGAATGATCAAAAACATAGAGATTTTTCATGCTTCAGCAGCTGAGTGGAAAAATTTTTATTTGGATGATCTTCAGTTCCTATATAGTTCTTTTGTCTAAAATGACAAAATCCTTATAAATATAGAATTTTAATAGGTTATGTTCAGTAAGGCTCACCATAAATGACTATCTAACTCTCAGTTGATCAGCCTGTAACTTAAGGCAATTACACAAGAGGGAATAGTATACAGTTTCATCAGTTTGGTGTATCACTCCTTTTTTATGCAAGAGTCCACATGAGTTCTGGGACATAGAAGTAACATAGAGCCTTCTGTTAATATTGGAGCTATTTAGTACATAGATGAACAGAGAAAGATTCAAGGTCTGGACTCCTATCACATATGTCTGAATTTTTGAAAGATTTTTTTAAACATTGAATAATGATGAATACCTAATTAGACTGAAAATATAGAGTAAAGGTTCTGACTAGTCCACTGTGCCTGCCTTAACTGTCAGATAACTTCCAGTGTCTGACTTTGGATATGCAGTCATGCGTATTACAGTCTTACCTCTGGAATTCACTTCCATGTTAAATGCTACTTCTTACAGGCTGATACTTGTCAGTCAATTTAATTGAAATATCACACTGACCTTTATATGAAATATGCTGAACTTACTGGAGTTTTTGGAAGTTATTTTTACTTTTGTTCCAGTTAAAATTCCTAAATTACCAGTATACAAAAAGTTCATGCTAATTAAGCTCATGAAACTGCCTGCTCATTGACCTTAAAAACAATACATTTTTTGCAGATGTAGTTCAGCTGGATCTGCCTGAAGATCAAAAAATAAGCACCACTGCAGCAACAGTGGGACAGAGTGCTGTCTTAAGTTGTGCCATCCAGGGAACCCTGAGACCTCCCATCATCTGGAAGAGGAACAATGTCATTCTGAACAGCTTAGATTTGGAAGATATCAGTGTAAGTAACAGAAAGTTCTATTTAACAGCTTTTTATGAAAATCTCTCATAAATAATAGAAAAGTGATGCATAACAAGCTACATACTCCTGATGTTTCAAAGAAAATAAATTGAAATTATATGTGAAAAACTCTGTTTTTATTTGCTGTGTATTTGAACCCCTATTAAATATAGAGAAAATAGGTTTCACAGACCAATCATTTAAACAATAAATATAGCAATAAAAGCACATGAAGGCTAAATTGCAGCCCAAAATACAGTCAGCATTATGCATTGAGGATTGTACAGTCTTCACATATTTAAAAGAAAAGGGAAATCTGTCGCATGAACATTTTCATGTACAAACAGATCATAATAATTGTCTTCTTTTATAATAGTTCAATAGAAATATATTTTTCCCAAAATACGTATTTCATAATAAAATCAGTTGTTTTGTGCATTTCTCCAAATATTCAGCAGTGTATATGGTACCTCTCAAAGAATGAAAAACAGAATATTATTATAATTTATACATATTTTCTTTCAGGAAGGCAAGTGTTTGCCACCTAATATGACCTAAAAATACAGAGGAAAATAGAAAACGAATATTAAAATTGCATCCTCTTGCAAGACTAAAAATAGGTTTTCGTCTGTATTTTGTATGCTTCTGGGTACGCCTTCTTTATTTTGGCCATTTTATATTAGCAAAGTTCTAAATGTGGACAAATCGTTATACTGAGAGTTGTGCTGTCTTTCTAGCCTAAGTGAGTCTGAAATCACCTGAACTGGTATGTTTGTAGAATATTGCTACAATCAAATATCTAGTTTGTCTATTTTTATTTCTTTTTTAATGAATGTTTTATTTTTAAGGTGGAAATTGTTCCCACACATCATCTCTCTTTTATTTCTGGTTTCATTAGTTCTGATGGTAAACTGTGCTTCCTCACAGTGGTGCTTTGTAAAATAAAGGACAATTTCAAAGCTCAAAAGCTCATCATGTTTGAGTGTTGGTATTAAGTCCCTTGAGAGGCTTAGGATAAACCCTCAGGGAAAAGGACAGGGGGTGTTGTGTGTTGTATGCAGCCAGTCCAAGGGACCACTGGCAGAGCAGCGGCGTGCATAAAAAAAAACAGGGAGAGAGAGAGATTAGAGAACAAATAGAGCAAGAAACAGCATAGGTAAGTATAAAGCTGGAAGAGCAGAAGGTACTCCTTGGTGAAGCAGATATCCAGAACATCTACATTGGAGCAGGTTTATCTTGAGGAACTTGACTAATTGTCTGACCAGTCTGGTGACTTTCTGTGATCCAGTGGTGGCAAAGGTTGAAAAGGCAGGACCAACAGATGTCACCTATCTTGACTTCTGCAAGGCCTTCAATACACAATGTCCTTCTGCATGGATAGATGGATGGATGGATGGATGGATGGATGGATGGATGGATGGATGGATGGATGGATGGATAAAGTGAGCCAGAGGTTATGGTCAACAACTCTGTGCAATTGTGTCTAAGTGGAGGCCAGTGCCAAGAGGTGTCCCTCAGGGATCTGTCTCTGCACTAGTGCTGTTCAACATCTCTGTCATTGACACGGACAGTGGATAGAGTGCTCCCTCGACAAGTTTGCAGACAACACGTAACTGAGTGGTGCATTGACACATCTGAAAGATGGGATGCCACCCAGGGGGACCTGGAAAAATCTGTAAAGTGGATCCACAGGAACTTCACTGTGTATAAGCAAAAATTATGATATAGTTTAGTCCCTTAATATTAAGCCTTTTGTTACGATTCAAATACAGAAAGAGAAGGTCAGATTCAATATCCACGGAGTGAGGCACTAAAATTAATAGAGCTCAAATAAATATATGTGGGATATTAATCTGTCTTTCCAGATAAAGTAAAAGAGGAAGGAAGAAAGAATTAATAGTGCCTGGATTAAAAGAAGAAATAACAAGAGAATGGAGAGAAAGACACTGAGTTAGATTCATCCCCAGACCTTCTTCAAAATGTACTTTACTTTTCACTGTTTTCACAGACTTAATCACTCTCTATTTCTTTCTAGATTCTATACTCCTTGCATAAGATGTCTCCAGAGGCAGTGTACTCTAAGTTTTACTATGGCTATATTATAAACTATAATGATGTCTGCCTGACTCTGGGAATTCTTAATTTACTCAGTTATACAAGAACCATCTCTGTGCATCTCTAGGCTAATAATGTTGTGTAAAGATGTCTTGGTTTGAAAGACAGGTGTCTGCTAGGGAAGGCAAGGGCCTCCCTTGGATTGGAGAACGTAAAATCCCTCCCTCCAAATTATTATAATTTTGAAATTAAGGAGACTCTCAGGCAAAGATATGAGGATAGGAATAACAGTTCTTTACTAGTATGTATATCAATGCAAACAAAGCAGCAGCAACTATGGAATTAATAACAAACAGAACAGGAACCCAGTTCCGGTCCTCTCAGCCGCAGGCACTTTCCCCTTTGGTGCAGTTCCCGTCACAGCCGGCAGGGAGCGCTGGTGGCGATGCTCCCCCCGTGGCTGCAGGGGGCGCTGTGGCGCGAGCTCGGACAGCACGCGGTAATGGCGGCTGTGTCCGAGACGGGAAGGGATGGAAAAGAGAGACTTTGCTTCATGAACCCTGGGGCAGTGTCAGTCCTGGTGCTCCAGCAGGATACTCGGAAAGAGCAAGCTGAAATGGCAGGGCATCCTAGCAGAGCATGGGTGCAGGGTCCAGCAGCAGAAGAGGCAGCTCCTGGCTGAGTTCTGGTGGTTGGAGCAGCTACCATCCTCCTCCGAAGCCAAGAGTGAGCAAGAGCTGGCAATTGCCTCTTACTCTCCTTTTACCTGGTTCTAATCTCCTGGTGTCTGCTCCTCTGAGAGAAACTCACAAAAATTAGAGGAGTCCCTCCTCCCCTGTCTCAAGTACCCAGCCATCAGTGCTTCTTTAGCACCTCAATGGGAAAAATTCCACAGGCAGCAAGAAAAGAAAACCCAACCCCAATAAAAGAGCATTTCAACATTTTCTGAAAATGACAAGGTAAACACTGACCTGGGAAGATAGATAGTTAGGGTTTGGGGTATTTTTCAGTAAAATGGATCAAAGATCAACATAACTGGAATCCAACATAGGAAACCAATCAGACTAAGCAGTAGTGTCAGTGTGATTTTGTAAATCACAGAAACTGCTGATACTTAGAAATTAAGCTTTTGCATTATCCAGTTCTCAATATGAATTAAGCTGTTTGTTTTGAAGAGGGACAAACTCAGAACAATATAATGTCCTAGTATTTTGTCAAATGGAAAAATGCAACAAGAAGGAAAGGAATCCAGGTGTAAACTGAAAATGATAGTTCCATTTATATAGATATATTTTTAATATTCTACTCCTCTACTGAAAGTGTAAAAGAAATATCTCTAAAGCTGTCAACTGTGGAGTGGCTAAAAATGAGTCTTAATAATGACTAATGTCTTGTATATTCTAAGATATTTTTTTAAAAAATTTAAAATACTGTTTGACTTTCAAAGGGTGATAACAGAAATGTGTATTTAAATAGTATATTTAAAAATGTTCTCTGAAGTGTGTGTTAATAGCATTACAGACAATATCCAGTTGATAATTTTAAAAGTCCTTAGTACTCCTCAACTCTTTTTATGGTACTTATGACTACTATTTGTAGAAGTACTGTATCTTACTACTAATCCTTTCTTACTAAAACTGATGGGTGGCAGGGATAATTAGCATCCATCTGAGGGAAATTATGAAAAATTATATGCCTCTGCAAATTTTACTTAAATTATAATATAGCTGTGCTGTGACTCACTACAGGACTGATCAAAGGGCTTTTTGATGATATTTCAGTACATATATAGAAAGGCTTTTTTTTCCTTGCTGTGATCCTGCATCTTAAATTTAATAGTTGCCTTTGCACTTTCCTCTTGTTTTTATCTAACCTACTATTCATTAGAGATGATAATTCCCGGTATGAAAAATAGCAGATGTATTTCTGAAATGCAATACACATTACTTTTTAATTGTTAATTCATTCACTTTTTAATGTATTTGCAACTTATTTTATGTTATTGTTTTTCTGATGTTTCATTCCAGCTTTGCCTTCAGGTTCTTTCCTATACATGTGAGCAATAATAAGATCTTGGACCTTCTTCTTACATTTATTGAAGGTCTACTGAGATGGTTTGTCCACATGCAAAGTTTAACAGTAACTTTTCAAAATAGTATAGTTCAACTTTTTTGTTTTCTTTTGGTGAGAGCTCATAATATCTTTCTTTAGGCTGCCTTCATGGAAAACATGTAATATTTCCATTTTGGGGTTTTTGAAGTTATGCATAGGTTACCTTTTTCTCAAAAATTCTTGTTTGTTTATCTTGTTAAAATTAATTTGCCCATTAAAACTGATCCTTCTTTGGTGACAGTCGGTATTTTCTTCTTGACATATTTGTCCTTCACCCAAGAAGAAAAAACACAACCCAAAAGGCTGTAATGGGGAATGCCAGTAAAAGCTAACATTCTCTAAAGAGCATGATAGCTTCCATTCTGTAGAGTTCTGATCAGAAACTGATGACAGAAAGGGTCCCAGATTGTCCAAAACACTAAGTGCCTTTCCTAGAAAGGACTCCAGACATCTGACCTCTTCTTTTTCTTCCAGCTTCTCATTCTGTGTTCCCTCTTTTATTATTCTTAAGAAAAATCTCAGGAGAACCTCATGAATTATTCCTTTCTACATTGTTTTCTCCCATGGGGTAGTATGGACCTGCATACAATATTCTCTTTATGTATTGTTGAATTGTTCTTAATACAGCACAGTTATGACTTTAATACAGTAGTTAGAAATATGGTGCCTTGTCTGAGAAAAATATGTGTGTGTGTGTGTGTGTGTGTGTGTGTGTTTGTACTTCTGACAGAATTCCAGGTGAACCATAAATGTCAGGGAAATATTCTTCAATCTTTTCCCCAAACCACATAAAACAACATTTTAAAGTAGCATCTTTTCATCTTTTTTTTTTT